CGAAGCTCCAGGACAGTCAGTGGTTTCACTTCCCCTAGAGGGCGGGGAGGGCTGGCCTTGGCTGGCTTAGGGACCAGAGGGGGGACCGCTCCTCTGCAGACAGTGAGGGGCAGCGAGGAGAGAGGATGCTGCTGGCAACGGAGAGAGGTAGAGGAGGCAGGGGATGGAGAGTCAGAGGGGATGGAGGCAGGGGGAGGAGAGGGGAGACTGAGGGTAAAGCAGACAGGGGATGGAGGCAGGGGGAGAAGCAGGTGGAAAGTCCAAGGAGTGAGCCCAAGAGGCTGGGAGAGATGGGCGGAGGGGAGGCAGGCCTGCCTGTGTAGGGGACCCGAAGCAGACCCACATCCAGAGATATAGGTGGCAATGTGGGCATGACCGTGGGCAGGGCATGTCGGTGGCCATAGATTCTCCACCCCAGACACCCTCTCCCACCTGAGTGTCACGGCACCGGCATTTGAGGAAGGACCTCTCCCTGCCCCCCACTGACCCCATCCTCCTGCCCCTCCAGCCCTGGACCTCCTTGCCCTCCTCGCCGCCCTCAGCCTGGTGGCCCCCCTGGCCGGGAGAGTCATCCACAGCCAGGACCCCTTCGAGAAGTGCATGGAGGACCCCGACTACGAGCAGCTGCTCAAGGTCGTGACCCTGGGCCTCAACCGGACCACCAGGCCCCAGAGGGTGATCGTGATTGGAGCTGGCGTGGCCGGGCTGATGGGCGCCAAGGTGCTCAGCGATGCAGGGCACAAGGTGAGATGTGCTACTGTCAATCTATCTTCAGTCCTTCCTGCTAGAGGAGGCTGAGGGTGGGAGGTGGGAAGCTCTCCTTGCCCCCTCACCTGGGGAGAACTCCCACTGAAGACACTCCCCCACCCCCCCCCAGGGCACCTGTCCACCCTGAGTCTCCAACCCCCACCACTTCCCCACTGGAAATCTCATCCAACATTCCCAAGCCCCAGGGGGGAACTTAGGTTGGTGGAGATGGAAACTCCACCCAATGGGAAGTCCCTGCTGAGGTCTAACTGAAATCATGGAGGGACTTCTATGCATATGGGACATCTCCCCACTCCTAGGCGTTGGGAAGTCCCTCTGCATGCTAGCCTGTAGCCTTCCTGCTCCAGACCATGTGCTATGATGTGTTCTCCCACCAGTCTCTCAGTATCAAACAGGGTCCCTCGGTTAGTCTGCCCACCATCTGTGCTGCTGCTTGCTGCGGGTATGAAGGGAAGGGTCATGGGGAAGACCTGAGGCCCTGTCCTTCACTGCTCACCATCTCCCCCTCCTCCCCGCTCCAGGTCACTGTCCTGGAGGCCAGCAGCAGGATTGGGGGCCGCATCTTAACCTACCGGGATGAGAAGACAGGCTGGATCGGGGAGCTGGGGGCCATGCGCATGCCCAGCTCACACAGGTGCCTAGGCTCAGCTAGGACCCCAATCCAGCCCTACCCCGCCCTACTGCATCCGGCCCCGCACAGCGCCCGCATGGCTCCAGGTTGACCTGCCTCGGTTACCCCAGGGCCAGGCAGCCAGCAGCATCCCTCATCTGGGTCCTCCCCTCCCAAGCCCCTATCTCCAACCCTGTCTCCCTGACCCCAGCCCAAATCCTGGCTCTAATTTCATCCCCATCAAGGACCAGCTCCCAACCCAGACCCTACCGTCCTCAGCCTTCCAGCCTCCAGCAGCCCACCCCCACCCCGCCGCAGGGCCAGCCCCACGCGGGAAGCTGCCCAGTGGCCCCACCCCGACTCCCTAGCCCCCGCCCCCCCTGGCTGTGTCCGCTCCCAGCGCCCCCTCGCTCCCGTCCTAGGATACTGCACGAACTGTGTAAGAGCCTGGGGCTCAACCTGACCCGCTTCATCCAGTATGACGAGAACACCTGGACTGAGGTGAGCGGCGTGAAGCTGCGCAGTTACGTGGTGGAGAAGATGCCGGAGAAGCTGGGATACCGCCTGCGGGCCCGCGAGAAGGGCCACTCGCCTGAGGCCATCTACCAGATGGCCCTCAACAGGGTAGACCGCCCCTCTGGGTCTCTGGCCCCGCTCCTCCCTCCCACGCAGCCCCCGGCTACTGTGCCTGCAGCTCCGGTCTCCTTGGCTTGGTCACAGGCAGATGCCAGGTGCCACCCTCATTACCACCTATCCCCCTCCCGTCGGACCACAGCCCTGACCACCCGCGCCGACTCTGCTCTCTGTTATCCCCTCTGTCCCCAAAGCCGCGGACCCCAACTCAGCCCTATCCTCTCCCCTGGACCCTTAAAATGGTTTTTAAACCAAACACACACACACCCCAACCATGGAGTGGATTCTGACTCAGGAGCGACCCCAGTGGACGGACAGAGAACTGCCCCCTTGGGTTTTCCAGACTGTGAATCTTTAAAGGCAAGGAGCCCAGGTGGCTTAATGGGTGATGTATTACTGCAGCAGCCCGATGCTTAACTCGCTGCTCCATCTGGGCTCCCAGTACCTCTCAGTCTTCTTACACCCAGAGCAGAACCTGCTCCTCCTCCTCCAAGCCCCGCATGACTCCCAAGTGCCCCAGGTAGGGTCCCAGCCCCCCAGCTTCAGGTCTGCGTCCTGAAGAGTCCAGCCTGCCCCTCCTGCCTTCCCACCCCTAAGGAGTATTTATTTCCCGAGTCCTCACACACCAGCGCTCTTCTCGTTCCTCCCCTCTGCACCCCTCCCCAGGCTCCTTTCTGTACTTCTCCCCTCAGCCTGGACTGCCTTTTCCCACCTGGAAAACTCCTACTCACCCTCAAAACCCTGCTTCCATGCCCCTTCCTCCAAGAAGCCTTCCCTGCTTCCCTCTGACTCTTATCTTCGTCCACTGTCCCTGCCAGAGGTGACAGCAGGGGGCAAAGAGACGGTCCGATGTTGTCTGCGTCCCCAATGGTTCAGGTGGCCCACATGTACATGTGCCCAGCCCAGAAGGCACTGCTGCTCCAGGTCTAGGACAGAGGCGGGCGAGGTCACAGGCATGTGACGCAGGGTGGGGATGGAGGGGTGGTCATGTGCCAGTGGGGCTCACTCCGGAGTTGACAGGGAGAGTGACCTTTGAGTTTCAGTGGAAGCCTAGGCTGCAGGCACAGCAGGGGAGGAGTGGTGGGGCAGGGGGGAGGGTCAGGACTGGGAAGGGGCCCACCATGAAACTCTGTACTTGCTCGCCCCTCACAGGCCCTCAAAGATATCAAGTCACTGGGCTGCCAAGGGGCCATGAAGATGTTTGAAAGGCACACGCTCCTGGTGAGAGCCTTTCCCCCCCCCATACTCCACCCTCGGCCCCCCAACAGCTGCCTGACCAGTTTGGGGCCTGGACTCCTTAGACCCCAGCCTAGACTCCCTACGCTCAGTGTCCCCCATCTTTCCGGAGCGGAGACCTCATAGCCTTGCCAACCCCGCCCCCAGGAATACCTCCTCGGGAAGGGGAATCTGAGCCAGCCGGCCGTGCGGCTCCTGGGAGACACCATGGCCAAGGACGGCTTCTACTATCTCAGCTTCTCCGAGGCCCTGCGCGCCCACACCTGCCTCAGCGACCGGCTCCGGTGAGGGCCCATTAACCTGTTAGTGGTGGGGACGGTTACTGCAGGACTGAGGCCCAGAGAGCCCGGAAACATTACCTGTAAGGCTAATGCTCACCAACATGGTCTTCCAGGAGAGGGCGGAGACAGGGGCAGGGCTAGTCACGTGGGTTGTATCAGCAGAGCGCAGGTGCGTAAGTAATGGAGGGGTCAGAGCTTGGGAGAAGAGGTGAGATTTGAAAGGGTAAGGAGGAGGGGGCGGGACAGGTGGGTGGAGCTGCTGCGGAAGGACAAGTGCATAGGACAGTAACCAAGAGTGGGCACGGCCAGAGATTGGGAGGTTCAGGAGTCGACCAATGGAAGGGACAGCAAGGCCAGATGGGTGGGGCCATGCAAGGGGCGGTGCTTGAGAAACCCAGGGGAAGGGAGGACCTAGCCCACCAGCAAGGGTGGGTTCAAAAGGGCCGCTAGGGCTCTCACAGGTTCAGCGTCATCTGGGCAGGTTCCTGGGGTGGAGGGCAACTGATCTGGACAGACTGGCACACAGGGCAAATGGGCCAGGGGACCCCGAGGAGGGGCAAGCCCAACAAGCCAGGTCACTTCTTGCCCCCAGGTTCAGCCGCATCGTGGGCGGCTGGGACCTGCTGCCCCGCGCTCTGCTAAGCTCCCTGTCGGGCCCCCTGCTGCTGCATGCGCCCGTGGTGGCGGTGAAGCAGGAGCTGCACGAGGTGCATGTGTACTTGTCCCCGTCGCACGGGGGCCCCCAGAAGGTGCTAGACGCTGACTTCGTGCTGCTGACGGCCAGCGGGCCCGCGCTGCGGCGCATCGCCTTCACACCGCTGCTCTCCCGGCGCCGGCAGCACGCGCTGCGCTCGCTGCACTACGTGCCGGCCACCAAGGTCTACCTGAGCTTCCACAAGCCCTTCTGGCGGGAAGAGAACATCAAAGGCGGCCACTCGAACACCGACCGCCCCTCGCGCGTCATTTTCTACCCGCCTCCGGAGGAGGGCGCGCTGCTGCTGGCCTCCTACACGTGGTCGGACTCGGCCGCGCCCTTCACCTCCCTGAGCGCCGAGGAGGCGCTGCGCTTGGCGCTTGACGACGTGGCGGCGCTGCACGGGCCCAAGGTGTACCGGCTGTGGGACGGCAGGGGTGTGGTCAAGCGCTGGGCCGAGGACCCCCACAGCCAGGGCGGCTTCGTGGTGCAGCCGCCCATGCTGTGGCACCAGGAGAAGGAGAAGGTGGAGGAGGAAGGGCAGGCTGACTGGGCGATGCCCTACGGCCGCGTCTACTTCGCTGGTGAGCATACGGCCCTGCCCCATGGCTGGGTGGAGACCGCTGTCAAGTCTGCGCTGCGGGCCGCCCTGAGGATGAACAGCCGCGCCGAGCCCAAGCCCCAGGCCCAGCACACCCTCAAGGCCATCCCCTACCCGACCCAGCACTGGGCCTCCACCAAGTTCCCCACTCAGGTGGCCCACAATTAAAAGGATTGTCGGGGGGAAGCCACATGGCCCAGCCCCCTCCCTGGCGCAGGGGCCACCCCATCCAAGTGGGCACAGGCCGAGAGGAGGTGGAAGGCGCCCTGGTGGGTCCAGACGCAGATCCGACAGCGCTCTCTGTACTCCTCTCCCCCGCACAGAAACAGGGCGCCCTGGGCCGCGTCCCCACAGGCCACAGCACCTCAGTTATGCCCCACCTGTGTTTCCCTGCCAATCGCCCCCGCCCCCTCGCCCCCTGTGGATGGAGAGGAAAATGGTCAGGGAAAGCTATTTCTAGTGACCAGCTTTGGCCCTCATCACAGGGTGAGGGGGCCTGGGGCTACCAACCTGTCAGCCCAACATGAAACTTAAAAGGTCAAGAGACGTGTCAGTTTAATAAACCAATCAGGAGGGCGGCTGGGCTGCAGGTGGCGGGACGCACGACAGGAAGCCCCGCCCCTCCGTGTAGCCCTGCCCCTGGTGGGCGGGGCCTTGCGGCGGAGGGAAGGGGTAAAGTGCCGGTGCTGGGCGGGAGCCGGTGCTGGGCGGCTAGGTGTCGGCCTCGTCCTCAGGCAGGATCTCCAAGCTGCTGTCGGGCTGCGGGACAGAGTCTGCGCCGGGCGCCACATCTGGCAGGGAGCGGGCGGGCGACAGTGGCAGCGGGGAGGCGGGGGGCGAGGGGCTGTGCAGCTCTGCGGGCGCCGCCAGGCCCAGGACTTCCTGCACGTTGTGGGGCAGCTCCTGGGGCGGGTGTGAAGGGCGGTGTCAGAGGCGGGGCCGGCCAGGGCAGAAGGGAGGAGCCTAGAGGGGGCGGGGCTCACCGGGCAGGCGGTCAGCTGCCTGTAGAGGGCCTCAGCCCGCGTGAGCACGTCCTCCACGCTCAGCTTCATGGTCAGCTCGTTGATGTGCTGCGGGAGGGGGAGGTCAGACCAGGGCACCTTGCCCC